GAAAGAGGTCTGAAATAGATCTCTCTCCCTCATAGCTCTGAGAAGGAAACATCTTTGGTTACATCTTTGACTTCAGAATTCTAAAGACAAGAACTATAAAAGAAAAAAAGAAATTAAAAAAAAATCCATTGCTTCAGCTAAACAGTGTGTAGTATTTTGTTACAGCATGCCCTAGCAAACAGGTAGCTTTCCTTATTTCGTGGTATGCCTTCTTCGCAGCTCACTTTCTGCCCTTTTAAGAGCTCCATAGTACCTTGCCTCAGTTCTTCATGTAATCCCACAAGGATCAAACTTCGACCCAGTTATCTGATAATAAGGTCTGTTGTACTTCCTCTGGAACCACAGACCAGAATCCCACACTGAGAATATGGACTGCATCTTCTAACCACCACAGACCTGGTTAGGTAGAGGATGGGAGTTGGATAAGGACAATAAAAATACTCTTCTATGGTTTTTAAATTGCCTTTTTTAAAGTTTATTCATTTATCTCTTCAATGAGACACAGCAACAGAAAAAGAGAGGGAGACAGGCATCCCAAAGAGTGTCCTTATGCCATGATCCACTCCCATTCTCAGCCAGCCTGGATCATGGGCATGTGCACAAAGAAAAACAGGACCATTTGCAGGTGCATCCAGTTGCTTCACTACTACACCACTGCCTGCTCCTATTACCTTTTTCTTTATTCAGTATTTTCATGGTCACTGTGAAACTCTGATGACCTTCCAGAGTTACAAGTTACAACAAAGTTAATTCTAACATTTTTGCTCAAATTATTTTGTTTCTATGGCAAGATGGATCCTTCGAGCTGCATAGTTTTCCATTTTTAACTTAAGTTTCATAGGTTGTTAAAAGAAAATCCTGGCCAGCAAGTAATGTGATGGTTAAGGCAGTTGGATCCAACATGACCCACTACAAGCTTCAAATCTCAAACCCAGATGCTTGGAAATCACACCAGGCATGTGCATACAGGTCTATAATCTTAAAAGTAGAAATGGAAGAGAAAAGATTGCTGTGTGAACATCTCCCCATGGGAGATGCGTTCTCTCTCTCTCTCTCTCTCTCTCTCTCTCTCTCTCTCCTTCTCCCCTCTCTCTCTCTCTCTCTCTCTCTCTCTCTCTCTTTCCTCTCTCTCCTCACTCTCCTCTCTTTCTCTCTCACCATCCCCTCCCTCCCTCCCCCGCCCCATGAGTGCACAGACCCTTTAGCAGATTTTTTAAAAAGTGGCAATTTACAATTTGTCTTCGGGTTACTTCATTTAATCTATGAGAAAAATTTTAAAGATAAACCTTAACTTCAAAATTCCCATGTACTCATCTTAGATAAAGTAGAGGAAGTTTCCATGAGATTAAAGGAATGAGATGCATGTAGCAGTAAATGTTAAAGCATATTTATAACTCAATTTCAGAAAATCTTTCCAGGAAAAAGAAAAATTATTCTTTGAAGCAATTTCTTTATTGTAAAGGCTAAAAAAATTATAAACATGTATAATAGCAAATTACCTGAATATATGAAATAACCTAACTCGTGATGAGACATAAGAAAGGTGTACTGTTTTGGAGTGAAGAACACGTTAATAATCGCCACATCCTCAGTTTCTGCAGTATAAAGGTGAGAAATTATGTTTCCATCTAAAACTCAGAAATTAGTAATACATGCATCTTAATTAGAAGCATAGAAATATGTGCCAAAACAGTCAGCCCAAATTGTAAGTGACTAGCTCTGGGAAAAGTAAAAGATGCACTGCTGTTTTTCATAATAAATCTTATAAAACACTTTGCAGTTATATTATTTGCATAATAACTTGAGTAAAAAAATAATTAAATAAATAATGGGAAATAAATATAACAATTACAGTTCTCCAGAATGATATGTACTTCTTATTCAACTTTTCATTAGCTGAACCCCCAAATTGCCCCAAGTTCAATAAAATGGTGAGAAAATCAAACAGAAAAAAAAACATTGTTTTAAGTAACTGCTATTCAATTATTTAATATTAGCAAATAGTACAACATTTAATAATTATGTCAATACATTGCCATGGACTTTGAAAGGGTCAGGGAATTAAAGGGACCTGAAAATTGAGTGTTGTTTTTATCATGGCAAACATATATTAAACATTTTTATAGGTGCCATTGATAATGAAGTCATTGAAGAATAAATATACCCTAAGGGATGAAACTGTTTATACCTAGTGGGAGTCAAGACATTTCACTTAATGAGACTTACAGATCCTCAATTTTTCACTTAATGATACTTATAAATCTTCAACTACACTGCTTGGTTTTGACCGGTCATATTATTTTAGGGCAGTTGGTAAATACCTGCTAATGTCTAGACACTTGCTGGTGACTGATAATCAGAGTAAAATTTCTCTTCTGTTTTCTCCTTGGCAGAGCAAATTGCAGTTCTGTTGTAACTCCGTCTACGACTCATTTAAGAAGCAAAGAGCTAATTAGAACCTACTGTCTATCTGAAGAAAACTTCAATATTAATGGTATGCTTTCCTTTTATCATTTTCCCTTATTATCTTATCTCTTTTCTACTTCCTCATTCTTCTCCCCTATTTTATTTTTCTTCCTCTCCCTGCCTTTTGTTTTCTTTATCTTGCATTTTGCTTTATTCTCCCATTTTCAGAACTATATGCAACAGAAACATTGCATTTCTTCATTCTGTTTAAGCCAGGTTAGCAATGCAATCAAAAGGACTTAGAATTGTAATAGAAGATGATAAAAGTGAAGAGTAGGAAGAGAAATTAAGAGATAAAATAGGGACAAGACACAAATAGGTTCAAAAAATTAGAAAGAATTGAGCAGAGTATTGATTAGTTGAACAGAGGGGCAAAAGACAAAATAACTAATGTTGTGGTCATAATAACATTGAACTTTTTTCAGTATTTATCTTGAGCCTAAAGCTGGGTTTCTGTCCTCAATCATCATAACATTTATACAGCATTCAACTTCTTTTTTGTACTGAGAATCAACTCCTTGAGACAATTGCATTCAAATTACTGTCAATATGATGAATAACATGACATCTCAGCCCTTATATACTGAAAAAAGATGGAATCTATTATATATATATATGTATATATATATATATACACACACACATATATATATTCAACTTTTTTATCTCATCCCCATAAATACAACTGAGTCCAAATATAAAGACAATTTATAAGATAATCTTATTTCTATAGATTTGAAGAAAATATTTTCCTCAAAGTATGAAAAATAATAAATCTTACTAATTTATCTTACATAAGTCATTTCAATAAAGCTCCTTATTAGTATATATAATCAATAACAATTACGGTATTTTGACATTGTGACCTTTACATTTTTCCATTGATTTACCATTACATAATTTTTTCTTAATATTTTTACCAGAGCAGAAGCAAATCAAAAAGCATCCATGAAAAACATGAAAAACCATACAACAGTGACAGTGTTTATTTTAGCAGGATTGACAGAGGACCCCAAATTGAAGATTGTGCTGTTTATCTTCCTTCTTCTTACCTACTTGCTGAGCATCTCAGGCAACCTGATTATCATTACCCTTACCCTGTTGGATTCTCATCTCAAGACCCCGATGTATTTCTTTCTTCGAAATTTTTCCTTCTTAGAAATTTCATATACAACAGTCTGTATCCCCAAGTTGCTTGTTAGCATGGCAACTGGTGACAGAACCATTTCCTACAACTGTTGTGCAACTCAGTTATTTTTTGCTTTCCTCCTTGGTGCATCTGAATTTTATCTTCTGGCTGTCATGTCCTATGATCGCTATGTAGCCATCTGTAAGCCTCTGCATTACACCACTATCATGAGCACCAAAATCTGTATTCAGCTGGTGATTGGCTCTTGGATTGCTGGTTTCCTCATTATTTTTCCAGGCCTCATTTTAGGTCTAAGCCTAGATTTCTGTGACTCCAATATCATTGATCATTTCTACTGTGACACTGCTCCTCTACTGCAAATCTCCTGCACAGATACGCATCTGCTGGAAATGATGAGCTTCATCTTAGCTTTGATGACACTCCTGATCACTTTGGCATTAGTGATTCTATCATACACATATATTGCTCTAACAATTTTAAAAATCCCTTCTGCCACTCAGAGAAAAAAGGCTTTTTCCACTTGTTCTTCCCACATGATTGTCCTCTCCCTCTCCTATGGCAGCTGCATCTTTATGTATATTAAACCCTCAGCCAAAGAGAGAATATCCTTAACAAAAGGAGTTTCAGTACTCAATACTTCAGTTGCCCCACTTTTGAATCCCTAAAAGGAGTTTCAGTACTCAATACTTCAGTTTCTCCACTTTTTAATCCTTTCATTTATACTCTAAGGAACCAGCAGGTGAAGCAAGCATTTAAGGACCTGCTACAAAGAGTTCTGGCTTTATCTAAGAAGTAGAATCATAATAAGATATACAAGAAAAATTAATGATTAAAAATAATTACAAAACAGTGTCTGGACTGGGCCCATTTTCCCATTATCCCATCTAATATGTAATCATATTTGTCTTTTCATTTCTTTATGAAGTGTCATGATATTTACATAAGCTGTCTTTCCTCAGTAATGATTTCCCTTTCAAGAGAGGTAAACATTTTTCTCTTTTGTTATAAGCATTTTCAAATCAGATCCTTTTCCTTTCCTCTTTGTTCATTGAAGTGTAGCTAATATTTGATTGTTAAACAGCAATATATCAGTTCATTGAGGCTATTAATTTTTTCCACATACATACTGTGTATTTAATTAAGATATTTTATTTTATGCAAAATCGTAATAAGCTCAAAAGAATTATATTAACTACTTTGTTGGGATTTTGTTTTTGCCTGGAATTTTATGTTCTCATACATATTTGGTTATCTTTTCTAAGATATTAAAAAGTGGGAAGTAGAGATTATAATATCAATAGCATAGCTTTTCTTGAGAACTAAAATAACACACTATTCTAGTGTAATAAAGAACCATACTACATATTCGGTCACATTTTATTTTATATATATAAACATATATTAAATAATCTGAGTGCATTAAGTCTAGGCGATTTTGAATAAAATGTAGCCTTGAGAGAACACATTTGATACTTTACCAACTGTTTCTTAGTCATCTGGGAACTGTTTTCCTTATAGTACATAACTATAACAGAATAACAACTGTTTATTTTGAGCTATTTTAAGGATAATTTGAAGGACAAAAAAATCTATCAAATAAACAGTAATGGTAAGTATGAATCCATTTATACTATTAGATATATTTAGCATATCCTATTAGGAAAACAACACAACAAAATAGACTACATAAGCCCTTTATCTTAGAAGCATAGGATCTAGTTGTAAACAAAAAATATATTTATAATAGAAACAAGAAAATCAATTAGTGTATTTGATTTTAACAAGTACTGGTAATAGAGGAGTGACAAGTTCAGAGTTCAGTTTTTAAAAGTTTAGTTTCAGATAAAGTTATGCATTTCAAAACTATTTAAAAATCAATTTCTATATGGAATAATGATTTTATAGGAAATGCAGGAGATAGATGAGCATATTAAATGAAATCATAAGAATCTAAACAATTCAGAATGTCATATGTTTTACATTAAAATAACCTAATTATTTTGACAAATCAAAAGCATAGGGAAAAAAGGTAACATTCAATAGCTAAAAGAAATTAAGAGACATATTCCTCAAGTGCAACATAGACCTTAGAATGAACGAAAGAAACTGCAAAATGGCATGTTTTTCATGTTAGCATTATTTTCAAATATGTACTGTGATAATGCTATTGAAGTTACTTGCTAGAGTTCATTAATGAAATATTTAGGGGTAAGACGATATGAAAGCTATTACTTGTTTTAAAATTGTTCTTCAAAGGTATCACTGGGAGATAGACTAAGTAAAAATAACACACTGTTTATAATAGTCAGAGCTGAATGTATTCGTGGGCGTCCATTACAGTATTCTCTTTTCAATGTGGATTGATAAATTTCCATAATGAATGTATTATAAGAAAACTACATTAGCAAAAGTTAGAAGGTGAATGGCATAGTTAATATTTTGATTTGACTGTCTTTAACTATCATTTAATTTCTATTTGATGTATTTGGTTAAATTGCCCATTCTTTTTCTCTTTTACATCTTCAAATTTTGCAACAATAAAGACAGACATTGTAGGGCTACTAGAAACAAATGAAAACCAACTTACATAAGTATGAAAAATCTTACTCCCTCATGTAATATTTATTTAATACAGAACCAGTGACAACAAAATAAAAACTCTGGATACACCAATTTCTACAACTATTGCATGTGAGGCTTAGGATATTTAGACAGGCATAATAGTTATAGATATACTTGTTATTTATGAACAGGATTTCTATTACAAATCCATAACTACAGCCTGCTACAGTAAGGTAGGCTAGAAATAGGATATATATAATTTTGATCATTAATAAATATTACTGAGTATTAATATGTGCCCAGGAATTATCCTAGGTATTTATATATGCTAACATCTTCAGTAAAACAAAATGCAAAGTTTTAAAAATCAGTAGTATAATTTATCCTGATTTTATGTTGCAAAAGGAAAATTGAACGTTGATGAGTTATAGTAAATAACCCAGAGTCACATACCTAAGTAGTAAGAGACACAGAATTTTAATTCACTTTTGTCTAATTCTAAAAGCTATATTTTTTCCAATACCATCATTTTTCAATTAGTTTTCACCAAAGCATGAGTTACAGATATACTAGGATAGTGACAACTTTAGTTTTTCAGTTTTGTGGTTTCATCTGTCATATTTAGCAAAACTTATGAAAGCTTCGTATGTATTATAATGTTCAAACTTGTTATGATTATAAAAATACTCCCTTATTTGTTTTGAACAAATAGATGGGAATCGATGAAGGTGTCAGGATTTATAGTGGTTTATGATATTTAGTGTTTCCTAAAATGCCTCTACCACCATGGCCTTTCAGAATTCTGATATTGATAGTGACAGAAAGCAATTCTAGGATAAATGCCTGGTCCTTGAGTAATAAGGTCTTTAGTATGTCGTCCATGTGAAATATAAGTGAGGCTATTAAAAATTTTCAATTTCTTGAATATTTGATAATTAGTGTTGTTCATTTTCTACCTTTCCAGGGCACGTTT